GTACATCCGAGTCTGGGAGAGTTTCTGTGGTCTGGTCTTTGTCCACATGAGGAGGAGTAGGAAGAGGAGTTGGCTCTCCATGACACCAGTTTCCCAATGACTGAAACCAAATAGACCAGTTCACTCTGCGTGAGGAAGTGCCAGGGTTACGTGGGGATAATAAAAAGATCCCTTATTCCTTTAGGGTCACAGAAGTAGCCCACAGAAGCCTCTAATGTCTCTGAAAGTTAATCAGTGATGGTGCTGACACGTGTTTTTTTTTAATGCATATTTGCAAACGCACACATTTGTTGATCCCTTGTCAACCACATCCCCTCTGACACGCTTGTGAGCGGTGCATCAGCTCCCCTCTCTCCGCCCGGGTTTTGCGTCACAGTGACTGGCCTAGATTGTTGAAAATGGACCTGGAACACTTGCCGTTTATAGCCTTTCCTCTGCCTCTCCCTGATGTAAGAGCAGAGCACGACTTTCCCAGAAAAAAAAAAAAAAGTTCTGGTGCTCTTTTCTAACAAGCAGGAACAAAAGACATCAGGCTACTGCTTTCACAGGCCACAACATCGTTTTCATCACATTTGGACTTTTTGTTTTTCTTCTTTTTGTCCAGATTTAAAACGTTTGCAGATGCACACATTTGTGTTACACTGTCGGATTACAAACATCTTGTAATGAAACACTTCCAGTTTGGCTCGAAAGTCTTTAACTCTCACAAAATAACTTAAAAAGACTCAGACACACAGGAACAGAGGACAACACACACTGCATTAAAATAGGAAACAGACTTTCTCCAAATGTTTCTGAGCATTTCAGAGAAATCTAAGCACACTTTCATAAGCAGCAGGCAATCGAATAAAGACATAATCCCAAAAAACCTCTGCAAGCGTGCCAACTGAGACCAACCGGAGCACAAACATTACTCTGATTATTCAGTCTTCACTTTGTTTTCTTATTTTAATCATCGACATTGCAGATTTTACTCCATATTGTGTTTGACTCTTTTACTATAAAGAATCAATCTAAAGTATTTTATAATTATTTTGATAGTTTCATGCTTCCTGAATCAGATGCATCTCACATGTCACCATTATCAGCAGAGTTACACTTGACGATTAGGCCTGACGATCCAAGAGTGTGGCCCGATTTGCGTGTTGCTGCAATCGACTATTAGACCAGAACAACGAGCTGAAAGATGCACCCCATCTTCACCGAGCTGTGGGGGAACTGAAGATTCAATGGAAGGCAGCAGCTTCGTTATTAAACGTCATTTAATACCTTGTTAAAGTAAAATCATATGAATATAGTTTTGAGCAGCAGACCTCATGAAGATGTTGGATCAGGTGTTAGGCAGCATCTCACTCCGGTGTCTCTTCTGTTTGTTACCTTAAAGGAGACAGAAAAGACCTGTTTTGATGTTTTCGGGCCATTTACCTGAACCACCTTAACCAAATCATTAGGCGTGTTCACATGCACGCCGCTGTGTTTGTGTGCGTGTCTGTGTGTGTGTGTGTGTGTGTTCAGAAGGTGCAGGTAGGCGTGGGTGGGCTCGCTATGTTACCAAACTCTTGCTGTGTCATCGTATTGATTTGAATCTCTCTCGCTGTCCCTCTCTCTCTCTCTCTCTCTCCCTCCCTCTATCTCTCTTGCTGTCTGGTCTCTGTCTCCCCTCCACTCCCCCTCCCTCTGTGCCTCCTCCGTTCCCACGGCAACACGTGGCTACTGGTTACATAACAGCGGCTGCTCACGGTGCTTGTGTGTGTTTGTGTGTGTGGTGTGTGTTTTTGTTTCTGCCCTTGGGCTTGGGAAGTCAAACACACACACACACACACACACACACACACACACACACACACACACACACACACACACACACACACACACACACACACACACACAAATAAAGAGAAACATGCAGCTTTCAGGCTCATGTAAGTGCACTATTGATGGTGGTAACACTGATTGCACCCACAGCTAAATACGCCGTGTGTGTGTGTGTGTGTGTGTGTGTGTGTGTGTGTGTGTGAGGGAGGGAGAGAGAGAGAGAGTATGCTCAGCTTGCTGCAGTCTGTGTTACTTCCACTAGATGGGAACAGTGTGCAAGTATCACAAAACCTGTTATTAATATTGTTCATATCTGCAGAATGACAAGTCAGAGTGATGCATGATGGGAAGGGTTCTGGTCTTTTCTTTCTATATGAAGCTTTTAAAAACCCAAATTCAAAATATGAGTTTATCTAAGTGATCGTTTGTGTAACAGTTACAATCTAAAGAGTATTGGAAAGTGGTCTAGTTTCTCTTTGCTGTCTTTTCATTGGTCGAGGGTTTTTTTTTTTTTTTTCACAATAACTATGTCATTGATTTGTAAAAAAAAGTTGAATCATGCTTTTTTTGTTTGAACATCATTGTAGCTGAGCCTAAAGCCCTCTTACACTTAAAATGATTTCAGCCGAAAACGCTAACCTGTCGTTGGCTGTTCGTTTACACGGCAACAGCGTTTTTATGGGTGCCTGAAAACGCAATGTTTTGAAAGCGGCACCGTCTCTGTCGTGGTGCGATCTGGCAATATGCTCTCCCTCTGAAAACAAAGACTTTTTGCACACGTGCATCACGGTTCCAGTCAATAGTTGCGTGCGTGTCGGTGGACTACGACAACAATGGCGGACTTCTGAGTTCTGTTTGTGAAAATGTCGACTGGAATGGCACCCAGCTGACATTTTCTAACTATGTACTCTCTTGGAGTACCAACCCCAACAATAATTTGTGCATTAGTCATTTTTGTAAGTTTACACTTTACCGCTCTGTAGTAGGAAGAGCATGTGTGCATGCACATGTTTTTTCATTACAAAGTCACAGCGCCAACTTCTGGTCCGGCATGAGTACTACAGCACTTTTAGTCATTTTTGCAGATCCAAACGATGGCGGCGTCTGAAATTGTACAGTTTTTAGTGGATCAATTTCCTGTACAGTTGGCACAAATGATTTTATCCCAATATTAGCTTTGTTAGCTTCATTAGCTTTGTTAACTAGCTGAGTATTTATGGCTCCAGGTGTTGAGTGTCGACAGGTTGCCCACTCTACCAACTCTGAGCCACAGCAATCGTTCACTGAGTAGCATTTACATCTTTGTCAACCATCGTTAAACTATGTTCTGTGACAGATATCAATGATCATGTCGACTTACAGATTTGAGTGGATGCTTCATGAGACTTTTAACTTTATTTTAAAAATGTATTTTACAACTCCAACCCAAATCTTCACAGTTTTAATCTCTAAGGGAGTTAACTTTCAAACTGTGTGCCATTCGTTTTGTGTCCTTGCCGTGGTTAGACGTATGAATGGGGATTAGTGTTTGATTAAACAGTGAGGTGTGTGAGTGTGTGTCAGATGTACCACACACACACTGACACAGGGATTCTTGCCCTCAGATCCCCTCTAATGGCATTAGGCAGGCCTCGCCCGGGGAGGCCGAGCTGCTGCTCATTTCAATTACGGCCACGTCGAGGAGCGATCCCACGCAGAGCGCTCGGCCCTAATACACCTGATTTCATATTTATGAGGAAGAGATGCAAGCCACACATAAACACTACGGTCTGCTGCTCCCTGGGGGGGGGGGCGGCAGGCGGCGTTTCCACTGAAGACAGGTAAAAAACATGATGCTAAAGGACGTCAGGTAGGAGGTTGATTTACGTGGTCAAGCTCAGAAAAAAATCAGGAAGAAGATGAGAGATTAGATTTTTACTTTTACTGCTGAAGTGTTTACTCAGGAAAGGCAGGAAATGTATTTGCATAAGTGGATGTTACCTCTGTGAGCTCTGTTCCTCGGAGCCCTCGGGCCACATAGAGCTGGTTTACAGTACTGGACTGTGCGGCGAGGCAGTAAAATCCAGAAGCTGTCTTATCTTTACGACCTGCACGGTTTCTGTTCTGCTTACGCCACCGAAGCGACCTCCATAACTCCGGAGAAGGAACCGCTTATCATGTCCTCGTAGATTTCTCTTTTCTGTTTCAAAAGTCCCTCACAAAGGTGGTTGTATCCTGAAATTGTACATCTCTCATCCCCGATGTTTGCAGGAATTGTGAGCTCATTAGTGATCACAGCTGATCGTAGAAGACGGGCCTTCTAAATGAATAGCCTTTGAGGTGATCAGGCCTTTGCTGCAAATTAAGAATCAGCAAATCGAATCTTTCTGGTTCAGTATTTCACGTCATGAGCTGTAGCAGCTGAACCAGAAATGTAGCATTAGCATTGATCTCTCCTTCCTGCTTTTATTGCATCTTTTTGGTTCCAATTTCCTCCACCTTTAAAGACAGAAACATTCCTACAGTTAGATCGTTGTGTGGCAATATTTTTCCTACGTGTGTTTACTTTGCACATTTCCTGTTGTCATATTTGAAAAGACGATCGTTATAGATGTTTCACCTTGGTCCGTTTTGAATGTTTGACTGCACCTCCCGTCATCGTGCCTCATCGCCCACTTTGCCATCGGCTCTGTTTTCGGGTGTAAATTTCCTTTATTCAATTCCTCCATTGACATTTAATAAAATCATATCAGCCGGGCTGTCCCCACCAATGATCCAGAGGAACCTACGACACCTGACTGGTCGCTCATAAATCTTAAGGTGCTTTGGGACAAACCTCAGCTCCACTTTGGACCGCCTAAATAAAATAAATGTGTTAAACCTAAAGAGGCTCCTATGTTTAAAAATGAATAAGGCATTACATGAAAATAGAAAAAGCAATAACCATTGATTATCCTCTTGTCTGTATGCAGAAAAAAAGTAGATCCAGGCCTGTGTGGATGACACCTCAGAGTTTATTTAAAAATGAGGATTTCCCCCTGAGGGTTAATGTTTCTGACTCTGAAACAAACATTCTCAGAATTTCAGCTACAAGTCAAATATGCAAAGATAGTTAATGTGCAGACTTTAGTGGTGTGACATTTCATGTGTCCCCGCCAGCGTGTGACTGTGTGCTATTTATTTTTTGTCCCACTTCCTCATTGCAGGGAACCAGAGGTGGCGGTGACCTGTGAGCTGTAATAACCTAACCAGGACCCGTTAACCGAGTCACGGTGACATGGAGTCGAGGTGGCATTTTGAGGAGAGAAACTCACTCAAAAAATGATGACTTCAAAACAGCAAAAAACTGACAAGTGCATGTCCACACATACCGAGAGGTTATTATTGACAGGGAGAAGAAAACTGCAACGTGTAAGTTTCTTTTTCCCTGATTGGCTCTCTGACTCTGCCTTCCGTTCCTCTTGGCAGCCTCTGATTGGCCGGGATCCACAGGTTTACTTGGTGACTCACTCAGCTCTAAGAAGCAAAAAACACGGCCATGGTGTGTTTCCATGACAATCTCTCGGGGGGGGAGGAGGGGGGGAGGGGGGTGGTCAGGCGCCAGCGAAGCACACAAGAGCCATTTCCTAATAAAGCGGGTTTTTATAGCCTCTCTTGTCTATTTTCTCCTGTGCGAAATGTAAACACGTCTGAAACTCAGAGAGAAAAGAGACGGAGGGAACGGAACAGTGAGACCGATGATCCGAGGGAGAAAAAGTGAACGCTGTACTTTCTCTCTGACACGTGTTGCATTCACTGTCCTGTTAAAGTCGCTCCATCCTTGACCCTCTCCTTTCACAGATGTGAACAGATTCTACATGACAGAAAAATGAACGCGGCAGATGTATCTACAGAAGTGGCTAAACAAGGTCTGTTCTTAAAAACCGTTTTTAAGGTCACATATTATGCAAAATGTACTTTAATATGTTTTTCAAAGACTAATATGTGTCTCTAGCCTGCTGAGCCTGGCGTCGCTGCATCAAGGGTTGAGCCTCTGAACATCAGGCATGCTGGCAAACTAACCAGTAAGAAACAGTTGATACGAGTCGTTTTCACACATGCACTCCTGCACATTTCTAGAAAGTTTCAGGCAGGCTGCCCCTGAAATCTTCCCGAGTTGGTTGTTCACACATGCACCTCACAGCTGCTGACCTCGTAAAGTAGGTGTGAAAAATTGGGGAATTTTGCATTCACACATGGTGCTCACCCCGAAAAATGTCAGGGAGTCTTTTGCAGTTTTGTACATTTGTGAAAGGGGCTTTTGAAAACTTAGCAAACAGTTTCTTGTTTATTTTAGCTTTTGGATTGGTGTTTGTGGCCTCCTGGGGAAGCAGAGTCCATCATTGGCCCTCTTTTTGCTTTGTTTTTAGTTTCCACCAACTCCTCAGGACAATATCTAGCTATTTTGCTGCTAAATGCGTCGCTATGTTTGGTTTCCTGCTGATAGCAAACTACTTTTCTCACCTGCCTTAAGGTGATGAGACCACTGATACATAGTGGTTTCTGATAGAGATGTTCTGCTGCTTACTGGGACTAAAAAAAGATGCTAAGAGAACCACAGAGTGACAGTGCAAAAAAAAAGCTGTGGTACAGGAAATAAAAAGCAATACCACCTTAACTTACAGAGGAGGACATTTGCAGAAGGCTGTATTAAAATGTTTCTAAATCTGAGAAGCTATATGCTATCTGGGCCGCAGTCTGTCATCGGAAGTGGCTGTTTCCACGTCTGCTTGACGTGTGTGTCTTTATTCGAACAGAATAAGCTCAAAAGCTAAAGTGGGTTGTGGTCATTAGCCGGTTGAAAGAACTCAGAACACATATTTAAGTTTTTGCATTTTATTTGTGGTGGATTTATGGTCACGTATGTGCAATCATCTTGTCCAACAGCAAACAATATTTGAAATGGTATTTTAGAGGTGTTTGTTTTGGTGTTTCACAGGAACTTTAAAATAACTATTTTGAGCCCTTTTGAGGCTCATGCATACTTCTGTCCATGCCTTAGGATGATAATACTCCCCGTGGGTTTTATATTAAACAACTTTTGTTACATTTCACAATCAAACGACCTTTAGTTGAAAATTAAGAAAATAGACAACTGCCGCTTTTCTTTTGGAAATTTGCAAAGAAGTCCTCTGGAGAATAGTTTGCAAGAACAAAATGTAATTTCTGTTCGACTTGAAATGCACCCTGAAGCAATATTTGATCTTAGTTCAAAATTACTAAGATTCTTGTACTATACCCTGGAGGAGAGTGTGTGTGTCAGGTGATTGACAGGAAACAGAGCGTAACGTAATGCAGCTCTGATATGAAAACACTGAACCGAGGCACGATGAAATAATGAGAAAACACCGACGTGACTGATGGACCATCTCACTCCCACGTCTGTAGCATCTATTGGAAATAGTTATTTTCTCATGTGATCCACATGAAGCCTCCAGTTATTGCTATTTTGCTCATTTGAGAGAAGATGGAGCCGGTCTGCATGGAGGACGAATTACAGAGACGCTGGAGGCTTAAAGATGATAGGTTCAGGGAGTCGTGAAGGATCAGGACGCTCTGATGTGCACACAGTTCAATGAAGAAATTTTTTTGAGTTATTAGAGTTTTGTACCTTTGTACGTTTACATTTCTTAATAAATCAAGAAGCTTAGTTTGGCCTCCATATTAGAGATGGGACCGATACGATCTTGTATCTGTATCGGGTCCGATATAGAAGTATTTTTTTCCTTGTCAACAGATCACCCTGTTCACCTGTTTACTGCACTTTGTAACTCTGGAAGCGGGACACCTACAGTTTGTAGTAACTTGATCAAACATGACTTCAGAAGAAAACCAAATATGAAGGGTGATCGACATCATCCGCTTGTTTTTCCTGCTGTATTTTTTTGTGTTGCAGCGGAAAACCACACATGATTTGTGCGTCTTTATAAAATTTGCAGCTTGAGCTGAGGGTGTCAGGGTAAGCGGCATCCGGTTGGTGACACTTCCAAGACTTCGCTCTCATTGGCTGCTGCAGGTATTCAGTGGGAGGCAATCTGACCTGGAATCGTAAATATCAAACATGATTGATATTTACGATTCCAGATCGGGGCGCTCCGACTCGATCAGAATTGGGCCACGCCCCCTGATCGTGGGGGGGGGAGAGGGGCAAATCAGTCCTACTATCGTCTAGTGTGTGGCCCTTAGCAGCACTAAGTGGATCTTGTGACAGTACAGTTGCACTCAGAGACCTTTGGTGTCTCCAAAGCGCACAAAAACAAATACCTACACATCGTTACATCAGCACTAACTGATCTGAATAGATTTTTGTAACACAGGTTGTACTCGGGCTCGGCTTCAACAACTTACTGTAGATGTTTTCAAAGGTCGGACTCTTTTCTGTGATTGAACTTGGGAGTTCATGTTTCTTTATATAATGACCAACATATGAGTGAATAGGAGCTGCTTCTCAAAAAGGAAAAAGAACTCCATGTCTTACTGCAACAAAGTGACACTGAAGGTTGAACTGAATGCTCGTTGATTGAGTGTAAAGTGTTTGTAGAAGAACAGAATGTCAAGGCAACCTTCTCTGTGCCTGCGTGTAAAGAAACACGTGGTGCATTCATACCTGTGGAGGAGTTGGTTCCTTCACAGTGATTCGATTAAAAACACTCAAAATCAAATGGCTATGTTCTTTCCTTTCAAACTTCAAACTCTATACAGTCGCTTTGTTGAGGCCTCATCACAAGTCTTAATGAAAAATCTGAAAAGACATGCACATCCCTCAGTGGGTGCTGGATCCAAAAACGTAAAGAAAAGGTGACGATCAAACCACCAAAACAGATCCACCTCCAAACATGACTGCCACGGTCTGTCTCTGGAGCGTGCCAGCAGCGCCAATACGCTCAGCTCCGTTTCAAATACACTGCGAGTCTGTTATCGAGGGAGTACGCTGCAGGCACACGTCAAGCTGGACAGAATAGAATAACCTGGAGAGGAAGTCAGACAAGGAAACGCACAGGTCAATTTCAAAATAAAACATCATGATCATATTTTAACATTACGTCAAAGAAGGCACCATCGAACAACAAAGCAACCTTTCGTGATCTTGTAGTTCTCCTGTGATCTTGTAGTTCTCGTGATCTTGTAGTTCTCCTGTGATCTTGTAGTTCTCATGTGATGTGTGTACAGCTGCTCATGGCTGCGCTCACTTTTCAGAAACGGATCCAGTGGGGGATTCTTTGCTACCTCTTTCTCTCTCTTTTCCCTAAAGTTTCCTGCCTATGTATTGATAATGGTTTGCTTCACTTTCAGAATTAGCAAAGGGTCATCATGGTTTAGAGGAAGTTGGCAGATAGTTTAGTAATTTCACAAGAATGCAAGAAGATTTTCCTCGAAAAGCATTTTCTGCTTGTGAATGTTCAGTTTTTATTTCAGCTGTCGTGACCGGCAGTGAGTGATGTGATTCCAGGAAACCTGTGTTCAATAAAACGGATGATTGTCCGTCTTGTGTGTCGTCCTCTACAGCTTTAGTTGTTGACTTTTCCTAACAGCACGTCACGATCCTCTCCTGCAGAAAAGGATATTTACTTACATTTAATATCTATCTATATCTGTCTACAAATGTATTCATGGCGTTTTAAGTCTGGGGTCCTAAACTTCAGAATCACATGCTTAGATTCAGACCAATTTTTTTTAAATATTTCACTGAAACTTCGTCTCCCCCCGTTTCCACCAAGCGGTCCGGTTTGGTTCAGAGCCACAAAATGTGAAATAAACCCATCCAGTCCTTTGTTTGTGGTCTGCATAAGTCTTACAACACAGAGAAAAATGCTCCATGTCAAATTTGCTCTCCTTGTGATATCACAGTGGGATTCTGGTAACACAAATCCCCTCCCCTCCCCTGATATCTCCACCCATAGACTCCACCCCAGCCTAGAACAAAACTTTTGCGCATGTCCACCATTTTTATTCTCGCTAGCAAAGGAGGGATGTTTACCGCGAAAACTCAGGGGGGGGCTCATTGCATTTAAAGAGACACACACACACCAAAACGGAGCGTTCTGAGAGAGCTGGTTTATACAGGGTCACAAACCTCCTCTGGTGCTTGATTCATGTTATATTGTGACCAAAGCACAGCACAGATGTTTCATTTAGACCACAGGGGACTGTTTGAAAAATTGGAAAAGGGGGATAATATGTCCTCTTTAAGTACCCTTCCCAACTTTTGACAGTGGAAATGACAATAAATGTGTACTGAACCGAACTGAACCTGACAGCTTGGTGGAAACAGGGCTTCTGTAACGGTATGAACAATGTGATGAGAGATGACTGACAGCACAATAAGTTTTGTTTTAGTGATTTTCATTGTGTTGATTCTCACTGTTGTCAGG